AGGTCATGAGATTGAGCCCCACATTGGGCTCCACACTGGGCATGGAGCCTGCTTAAGATTCTTTTTCTCCCTCTCCCTCTGTCCCTCCCCTGCTGCTTGCTTGCTCGCTCTCTCTCTCAAAAAAAAAAAAAAAGTCACAATTAAGACCTTTCCATAAGTATCCATGATAAATGGATTCATTTGTCAATACTACAGAATTTTTAAGGAAGAAATTATGACCATACTACAAAATTCTTCCACAGAATAAGGAAAAAAAGATAATCACTTCCCAATTCATTCCATAAATCCAGCAGAACGTTGAGGCAAAACCTTGTAGAAAACATTATAAGAAAAAAAATATGGAGCAATTGCAAAATCTTAAGCAAAACATTATCAAAGCAAATATGACAATATTAAAAATGATATTATATCATCAAGTCTTCATTCCAGGAATGTAATGATTGTTCAACATTAGAAAAAGCAAACAGTGTAATATACCACAGTATCCATGGGCAAGTTACTTTACCTTTTAAAAAGTTTAAATGTCCTTATTTAAAATTTCAGCTTCCTCATCTATAAAATCAAGAGCATGAAAATACAAATAACATATGGTTTTCATGAGGATTAAATAATTAATGCAGGGGCACCTGGGTGGCTCAGTCGGTTAAGCGACTGCCTTCGGCTCAGGTCATGATCCCAGGGTCCTGGGATCGAGCCCCGCATCAGGCTCCCTGCTCGACGGGGAGTCTGCTTCTCCCTCTCCCACTCCCCCTGCTTGTGTTCCCTCTCTTGCTGTCGCTCTCTCTGTGTCAAATAAACAAAATCTTTAAAAAAAATAATTAATGCAGGTAAAGTGATTAGCACATGGCACATAGTAAATGCTCAACAAATCTATTATTATCAGTGCCTTTTTAAAAATGATAAAAATGAAAGAAAGAAACAACTTTTATATTGAATAATTTAGCGGACTAAAATCTCACTTATGCAACTCTTTTACTATGCCAAAAAAAAAATCACCCCAAAACTTAGAGGTTTAACACAACTATTTCTTCAGCCCACAGTTCCACAGGTCAACAATTTAAGGTGGACACAGCAGAATGGTTCCTCTGGTCTTAGCTGGGCTCATTCATGTGTCTATAGTCAGCTGTTCAGTCAGTTAGGAACTGGTTAGTCTTGGGGTGGAGGGGCAGTGGATCAACTAGGATGACTTGTCTCTGTGCCATGTTGTCTCTCATCTTCCAACTGGGTAACTTGGGTTTGTTCCCATGACAGTTACAGTGTTCAAAGAGAACAAGAAAGGGCAGTCCCCAATACATAAGCATTTTTAAAATCTCCATTTGGGAGCGCCTGAGTGGCTCATTGGGTTAAGTGTCTGACTTTGGCTCAGGTCATGCTACCAGGGTCCTGGGATGGAGCCCTGCATCTGGCTCCCCACTCATCAGGGATCTGCTTCTCCCTCTGCCCCTGCCCCTCCCCACTGGCTCACGCTCTCTCTCTCACACACACACTCTATCTCTCTAGCAAATAAATAAATAAAATCTTAAAAACAAATAAATAAATAATAAAAAAAGTAAAATCTCCGCTTGTATAACATTGGTATTGTCTCATTGTCCAAATCAAGTCATGTGGTCAAGCCAAGAATCTGAGTATAGAAGGAATCATGCCAAGGATGTGAATATAAGGAGTCTTGAATAAATTGGGGACAATTACTCTAATAATGTACCAAAATGCTAAGACAATAGTTCTTTATTTTAAAAAGATATGAGAAAGTATATACATGATTTTACCCACCCACAAATTACCCACTTATTTAAAATTCAGTAAGAAAAATTTTCTCCCAAAACTAATTGTTTTACTCAGTATTTCTATTTTTAGGAAACCATCTCTAAGTTTCTAAGACATTAGCTTGGTAACCCAAACATAACTTTCCAAATGTAATGCCTACTACTGCCCAATCCGAACCTTTTTCTTCAACTAGGCAAGTAAACCAATGGCTTTTTCTTACAGTGTTCTTATTTCTGCTAGGCTCACACATTTCCTTATCTAAGAGACACACTCCTTGACCCTGCTCCCTTGAGTCATTTAGCATAACTCATCATTTAAGTTTCTAGCTCAAGTACTACTTAAAGATGACAACAATGTATTCCTCATTAATATAAGGAAAAAGTTAGAAACCAGACATTTATCTGAACTCCCATTGTGTGCCAGAACTTTGATGGGACTAGCCGTATATATAATATTCCATCTTCTTTCTTAAAAAAAGATTTTATTTGAGAGAGAGAGAACATGTGCGTGCACGCATGCAAGGGACGGGTAGACAGGGGACGGAGGGTGGAGGGAGAGGGAACACCGAGTAGGGACCCTGACCATGCAGGGCTGCAACCCAGGACCCTGAGATCATGACCTGAGCTGAAGGCAGACACTTAATTGACTGAGCCACCCAGGCGTCCCTATAATATTCCATCTTCGAATCTTCAGTCTTCTGAATGAAACAATAAAAATTACTCTGTAAAGGTCATTTTTTGGATTTCTTTGTGTTTTCCATAGAATTTAGCATGGCAAAATAGATTTAGGACCCAAAATATACATATTTATTTCATATTTTCTACTGAATTTGGTGAAAATTTTTATATAATTTCTTAGTGTATATACTTGTAGTTTCCTAATATTAAATAAGGGAATTCAAACTAAATAAGTGATATTTCAAAGTCACTGGCTAGGCATTCTATCATTTATATCCATAAATCATATATTTTGTTATTTAATAATCCAAATGTCTCTATCTCTACTTAACTTTTAGATAATATAGATCTAGAGTGAATTGTATCTTTTAGTTAATCTATCTAATGCAAATAAATATGTCTTATATTAAATATGTACTATAACTTAATATAACTGCCTTTAGAAATTTCTAGTTTAGGGGCACCTGGGTGGCTCAGTCAGTTAAGCGTCTGCCTTTGGCTCAGGTCATAATCCTGGGATGGAGAGCCTCATCAGGCTCCCTGCTCAGTGGGGGTCTGCTTCTCCCTCTCCCTCTGCCCCTCCCCCCCCTCGCACGTGCTCTCTCTCTCTCTAAAATAAATCAATAAAAAATCTTTAAAAACAAAAAATAAATTTATAGTTTAGATTTTTCTCTGAGGAAAACTTGCCTTCCCACACATTTACTATTTAAAATGAATGAAAGCATCCTTTAGAAGTCTTTTCACTAAGCATCAAAAACTAATTAGCACATCTAGTTATACTTTTGTTTATTCTTTTATTCTCAGAGCTGACTGCTTCAGTAATAGGTGTTTCCTTGGACCTAGCAACTTAAAAATATTTGCTATGTCTGATTAACTGACTTACGAATTTCAAATGTAATCATCTATAGTTATTTGCTAAAATTCTGAAGAAAGAAGATTATCCCATACCAAATGATTGGCCCTGAAAACAGGCACATGAATAGGATTCTAATTATAGAAATGACAAATTTGAGTTGGCTTATTTATTTGGTGACAGTATACAATAACCATTTGAGATGTGAAGTGGCATATAAAAATGCAAAACCAGAGAATAATATGAATAATTGAAAATTCATGGAAAATGAAAAAACAAAGAGAATATAATAAGACTGGGTGAGATGAATACATATCATCCTCTATTTCTATTTAGAAACTAGCCAAAATTTGACTCGCATTTTTTTAAAACTTTATTGAGCAGCTTACACAAAATAAAAGTAAGGTTGAGAGAGCACATGAAATTAAGGATTTATTTCTTAAATACCAACAAAGGGGATACCAGGTGATATAGTGGTCATCACTGTAATAGATACAATGGTAATTATTTTTTTTTCTTTTTCTTTCTATGTTCTGTCCACAACTAAGAATAAAACTGAAGCATGGTTGCATAAAAGCAAGCCCATGTAATCTAAAACAATGTAGTTCAAGTGGACAGCTCTTGATTGTCTTCTCTATAAAAAGATATCAGAAGTCTAGAGAAAAGGAATGCATGTTTTTAGATAGTCCTCTATAAAAATTATTACTCCAAGTCAGATTTATGATTGAAAAACAAGGAGTTTAAGGTTTTGTTTCCTACTAAGAATCTGGAGTGTAGATGCTCTGTGTTGCAATAATGGCCTGCCCATATGCTTTGACAATCCATTAGGCAGAGTGAATTCATTATTTGCTCTTCTTACTTGTTAACATTAATTCACATCCCTAATTATTATTAGAAAACAGGATATTAAGAGTGTTAGGATAATTGCACTTGTGAAAGCAAGAAAAAGCCAGAAACTTCAGTGACAGGGAAAAAAGTGTACTTTAGTATAACAAACAAATTAACCTAGCTCAAAATAAGACATAGAAAAGAAAAAAAAAAACTGGTGAGAGTTTAAAAATATCATAGGATACCATATGGATAAAGCATTCTGGAAAATCACATTTGCATTTCATGAAGAATGGATAGCTAATTTCATAATGATTTTCTTTGAATGTGAAGAAAAAAATATGTAGTCATTCAGCTAGAACTAGAAAAACCAAGAACTTGTAAAATACATATTTAACTTTAAAGAAAAAGAGTAGTGTTAGTGAATCCAGATTTGCAATTTGTATTATCAAATGCTGGAAGGAAAAACTTAAAAGCAAGATAAATAAATAATTCATTATCCAAATTGAGACACGTTTGAGAGTGAATAAATTCACTACTAATAAGAAAGCTGGAAAATTTAGGCATAGACCCAGGCTAACCTGGGCAAACTGGAATGCGTGGTTAGCATACTTAAAATGTCTCTCAGGCACAAACCCAAAGCAGAAAAATTATTCTTCCCCAAAATCACCTCCTCTCTTCAAGCTTCTTAGTCAGAAGAGTGCCAATCCTCTTATCTTTAACTAAACGGAGATCAGTATTAAATTTTAAAAAACAGTGTTCTCAGCTGTGAGTCACTGACACTCACTGAATATGGACATTCCCTTTTCCTTAAAGAGAAAGGACAAACACTTCCTGACGATAGAAGTACCAATTTATTGTCTTGGCTTTTATCTTACCTGAGCTATATATATGCCATTATGGATTCGCCCATCTTTCTCATGATCCTTTGTTTTCCATAATATTTGCCATATTTTGTTTCTAACTCCATCTTGCTCATCATCTCCCCGAAGTTCCCATGACATTTTCACCAGGTTATACATTAAACCATAGTATCCAATCCATATCACTTGATCACCTGTTGGAAAAGATATATTCTTTGGGAAAACATGGTTTTATTCATCTTAGAAAAGCACAGTTTTGTGAAAAAGAAAAAACTTTATTTTGCTAATATTTTAAAGCCTGAAATTCTGAGCTTTGGAATTTGTTTTACTCTTCACAGCTCTTACTCCTTTAATTTTAAAAGATCATAGATTATTTTAACATTTCCAGCCATAAGAAAAGATCTGCACCTAACTAATATCATACCTCATAAATTTAAAGTTGACAGGTAAACCAGGAACTATGTATTAAAAAAAAAAAAAGTTTGGGATTCAAGGAAAGAGGCATTTGTTCAAGGTAATAGGAACACTTAGACCACCATGGTGAATTTTTATAATGAACTAGAGAACAGGAGAAAAATCACTGCCTTTTATAAAAATGACCAAGCTCTATGAAACATGGCATTTGAACCAAGAAGAAAGCCTTGAAAATAATGTGAAAAGCAGATGAAAATTGCTGATATAATTATAGACTGGAAGATTTTTTTTTTTTAATAATAGAGACATAAATCAACTGAAATAGAGGAAAGGGAACAATGAATCCAGAAGAGATTTTTTTAAAGTCTAAGACACTCTTCCTTCTAAGACTTATCTACCAATTAATAATTTATATAAATTATCAAGGTCCACTTTTAAGATATACTTCTCCCATACAGAAAGGAGAAAGAAGTTTCTCTTTATTCTTTACCTTAATTACTTCTTATTTCTTACCTAGGTGGTATATTGCTATGAAATACTACTCAGGAGAAGAGAATTCTTTTTTTTTTAAGACTTTATTTATTTATTTGAGAGAGAAGAGTGAGAGCACAAGGGAGGGAAAGGGGGTCCCGCTGAGCAGGGAGCCCCGACGCAGGGTTCCATCCCAGGACCCTGGGTTCATGACCTGAGCCAAAGGCAGCTGCTTAATCCACTGAGCCACCCAGGTACCCCCAGGAGAAGAGAATTCTAATTTAGTTAGTGATGGGATAAATTTGGAGAATAAAATAATACAGCAAGTCCCAAAGGGTATATGAACTAAAGTTAGCCAAAGAGCAACATGAGAGTACCAAGTATATGTGAAGCAGGTAAGAAAAACACGAGGAAGAGAAGGTTCAGGAAGGGAGATGGAAGGGTTTCAGAGTCAATTAAATTCTGTATTGTACTGTCCCCTAAATCCTGATGATAGTCTGTATGACACTGGAACTCATCAGTGCTCGTCTTGAATAAGGATAGAGGTACAATATGAAAAAGTCAAAATCCTTAACTTTTCCTAATTCAATATAGATTTTTATAATCCAGACTAGTAATAATAATAATTACTATTATAACTAGAAAACTTGGGCATTTCTACTACTATGTGCCCTTATTCTAGTCCTCACTACAATCCTGCTATGAAGACCATATTAATCTTAGCATAATAGAAGGAACATATGACCTTCAAATTGGTTGAAAGTCCCCTAGCATTACACAGCTGATGAGTGACAGAGCCAGGTGAGGGTGAGTCTAATCTTATCCCAGGCAGCACGGCCTTTCCAATTCAGACAAGTGCTTTGCCTTCCTTCTATTCCAAGGGAAGAGACTAGAAGGTAGAAAGAGGAGGCAGAAGTGAAAGTATGTACACATCTTAAAAGTGGGAGGAGGATGGCAAATGTCCAGCTTCCAAACTTAAGGCATCTTTCATCATTTGTAGTGATACTTTGAAAGAGATAGTATAAACCATAAATACAAGGCTACAGTTAAGCAGCCAATTCTTTTGAAAATGTAATTTTCCCCCACAAAAATTTTACAAGTTAAAATTAGCATGCTGCAATATTTGACATTATATGTATGAATTGATGTCAGCAAGATGATAGAATAGGAAGACCCCAGCCCTCGTCCCACACAGAAATAATTTGGCAGCCATCCATAAATAAAAGTGCCTTTTTCAGGACCTTGGGAATGAAGTAAGAGGTTATGAAACCCCACTGGAACCCAGGACTGAGCAGGCAGTCCCAGACCCAGGTGGCATATCTGTTGGCACTTATGTGGTACCAGCCGTGGACTTGGAAGCATCCTTGCCCCACTGTGAACTCAGCTCCAGCCCTGGTTATCCAGTCTTATCCACTAAAGGACCCAGGGGGAATCCATGCCTGCTGGTGCCCTTAGTAACAGGCTCACAGCCTGTGGGCCCTGAAACAGCTCTGTGACCTGGCTCCAGCTTCACTCTCCCATGGTCCAGAGGCAACTCTTCCCACCCATGGATCTGGCAGGAGTGTGCTCAGGGAAGTGGCGGGGGCCACATCCACTTGCACCCCACATAACAGACCTAGTATCTGTAGATGCAGAGGTGGTTCCATAACTAGGCTTCTGCCCTGCTCACCCATGGTCCTGGAGGTAGTCCCATCTGCTTTGGGATGTGTGACAGAAACCGCCTACTCATTCCTTTGGCAACAGGCCTATTGACTCCCAGTAGAGAGGTAGCTATAAGAAAAGAGAAGGTGGAGGATGATAGTGAGGATCTCAAACTGAGCTGAGGTAAAGAGTTCATATTAGAAATGGATAAGGGGCTGGGGCGCCTGGGTGGCTCAGTCGTTAAGCGTCTGCCTTTGGCTCAAGTCATAATCCCAGGGTCCTGGGATCAAGCCCCACATCGGGCTCCCTGCTCAGCGGGGAGCCTGCTTCTCCCTCTCCCACTCCCCCTGCTTGTGTTCCCTCTCT